AATATTTAGCTAGCAAATTAAATATTTAAGTTAGATGTGAAACTAATGAGAATAATTTTCCAACAAGTACAGAGAATCACAAACTAGTAGAGGAAAATTAGTTGTGATTCTAAAAACGGTAAATAAATCCCTAAAATGCTTGTTGTACCTAACACATTATCATTTACATTTACTCAAGTCTATTTGAATCCAACACCAAGTAATAATAGTTACATATAAACATAATGATTATGAATATGTGATTTAGGTCTATGTAAATAAGGAATTTAGGCTACTCAGGGTCAGTTTGATGAGGAGTTAGGAGCTGGATTAAACTCATACATAGACAACCCCATTCATACATATAAGGCATAATAAAATAAAATATTAGTATTTGTGTCATTATAGGACCCAGGAATGCACTTAAAACCCTTAATAGAGAAAACAGAAACAAATAAGTTGATGTGGCAGCAACAACTAACAGTAACTGCAGAAAAACCCAACGAGACACAAAGGAGAACCACGAAGCTCAAACGGTGTCAGACTGAAGATGAGGCTAAATCTGGGAACAACTGGGAACAACTGGGAACAACTGGGTACAACTGGGAACAACTGGGTACAACTGGGAACTGGTTGATCCCACAGAGGAACTGAACTGAACACAGAAAAATAATCAAATAAATAACACAAAGCAAGAATCACAGAACACAGAAAATAAACATGAGAACTAAAATTACATYTAACAATAAACAAAAAAACTGAAAGGCACAGATCCTGATCATTTGACCAAGACTGACTGAAAAAAATGTTTCTTTTTACCTTTTTTTATGACCTGTTAACTCATCACTTATTTCATCATTGATATCATGTTATTTGTGATCTAATTTTGTTGCTGTAAAGGGTCGTAGCTTGAGGTTAAATTGTCTGGAAAACTATTTAACCTAATTTAGAGCAAAGCAAAGAATGTGTAGATACTGGGTCATTTCCTGGCTCAATATTCATAAAGAAACGAGCAGCCAGAAGAGATGATACAGAGACAGGTCAGTGACAGCAGCTGAATACTGCTGAGTGGACCATTAACTTCATTAGCTAATGGTTACCAGTAGCTGCAGGAGGGCAGAAAGAGTCCTTTAACAAATTCAGTTCTCTATTTGAACTTCTCATTAAACTATATTCAGCTAACTAAAACTGTGCTGATCACAGACTGGAACACTGACAGACCCACGTACAAACTGAGCAAGACACTAAGTTTGAACCATTCATGGTACGACTTTACTATACAATTCTGTTCAGCTAATTCAGCATGCATCTGTTGTTTTTTGAAGACTGATAAACGTTTTAACTTCAGACTTTTGTTAATTAAAAAAAAACAGAGCTACTAGTTATAAAAACACAGAGTCAGTCATATAGTCAGTAAATTCTGTAAGTCAGTCGGTTGATTAAGTACCCAGTTAGTAGTAAAGTCAGACAGGCAGTACTGTGGCTGGCTGTGAAAACTGGTCAGAGTTAAGTGCTCACAGCCTGCTTTACTCCGTTACACTTATCCACTTAGCTGAAACAGCTTTCTGCAGCGCTGGGATGTTACCTGGCAACACCTCCTCCAGTCAGACACACATCAACCAGTCAACCAGTCAGTCAATTAGTCAGTCCCGCTCTTCTGATTACATCAGATGAAATATTAATAGTATCTGCAGAAAGAATAAATCAGGACATGACACAGGAAGGAAGAGGTGGTATGATCAGTAAAACAACACAACAGTGAGGTTGTTTTAGTGTGGACTCTATGTGCATTCATAGTAGAACAAAAAATAAAACTATCAATTTAACTAAATAGGCTTGTCAACAAAGCAAAAGACAAATTGTTTATTGTCACAGGACTTGAAATGTCTTTATTTTTTGTTGCTACCTATTTCTTAGACTAGTTGAACTTTTAGGTTCTAATGTAAGGTTTAGGTTTTTACACATCCAACTTTGTTAATGAGGTCCACATATGATTTAAACATTCAGTAATGAATACATGTCATCCACTGAGTGTTTTCTGCAGCCCAGTGGCCCATTTATATGGACAGTGACCCCTAGGGTTTAAAACCTGTTAACATTCAGCAGAACGCCCGCGTGCCATTTTTCGTTCATTTTATTTTTGAAAGGCCGTTCTGTGTTTCTTTTCAYCCTGTGTCCGTGTGCAATGCATCAGAATGGACGTCTAGYCCCTCCTCTTTCTATTGACACCTCATTTGACCAACTGGGTTCAAGTATCATCTGTCCAGAGCCAGTAATATATCAGAAGTGACCAACTTCCTGTTTCCATCATCCTGGGCTTGATTGACTGTAGATTCAGCCAGTCAGCTCCAAGCTTCGTTCTGATGTCACACCTGTGTAGCCAATCACCGTACCTTTCATTTGGTGTATATATTGAGGGGGTGGGAACTTTGCTTAGTGATGGACGAGGTAAACACGGAGGAGGTCGCCATATTTAGACAGTCGTGCTACGCTAACGAAGGAAAATACGCTCACAGGAAAATGTTTTTTTCCACTGTTTTTTTGTCCAGTTATCTGACTAAACCTGCTGATAAGATGAAAATATATTTGTTATTAAGTGTTTCGAGTGCTTCAAGACATGGAAGAGGGATTTTTGTGGCCAGGAGAAGTAAAAATATTTGGATAAAAAGACTTCCGGTCGGCCATTTTGAGTCACTAATTTTGTCTTATTTGAGGACAAATATGCATCAAATGTGAGTGAAAAACAAATATTTTTCACTGCTGGTGGTTTTATAAGCTGTGTGGAATGTTAAATGTTAATGCTTTGAAAGAAATAAGGATATATTTGTTTATTCTTGTTTTTTGGTTGTTTATTGGTGGAAATTCGTCTGAATGG